GGGGGGGGGGGGGGGGGGGGTGCCAGTTCCCAAGCAGTAGCGTCTGTGGTTGCGATGATCTGATCTAAATTTGTCATGCTCGGTTCTGAGGCTCCTTCACAGAGGTCCAACCTGTTTAGGGCCTCGTAAGCTGTAATTTACCTTATTTAAAAGCTCTACTAAGAAAGTCGCTGTTTGTTCTCATGAGTTATTTCTTAAGAAAAATATATGTTTTGTGGAGAGTTTGAGGGCAGTCTTAAACTGAGGACATCACCACAAAGGCCTAGTCTCTCATTTTCCTTCCCAAGATTTCTTCTCATGTGCTTGAATGGGTGAGTCAAAATGAGGTGTTTCCTGCTCAACTAAGATAAAACTTCAAGAAAGAAAGAAGTAGTAAGAGAGAAAGGCAGCTCTCCTGCCTGACAGGCCTGTAAAGCAGGCAGTTTGTGCAGGACTTACCTTGGGTATTTATTTTGCAGTTCATCAAACATTCGTAATTCTCATGGTGACCCGTGCATTTCATATAGCATAAGCCAGGATTCAACACACATACCTTCCTAAGGAAACATACACTTTTCATTCTACAATGTCTGTGTCCAAGGTTTTCTTTTCCATTGTGTGAAAAGGTATTTAATTATGGGACCAGCAGTTAGCGTAATGGCTATGTGGCTGGACTCCCATGTAGTCGACTGCGGTTCGAGTCTCTGTGGCTTAATCTCACGCCGGGCGCATGTGCGTGCGTGCCCAAGATCCCGAGATGAGAAAGGAGGAGAAGGGATTGTGGCATGGCCATCCCCCCAGGGGGTGATATCTCACTTTCTGTCTCTCTGTCTTTCTGGTGAGCTCACATGCCCTATAGCAAAAACCTCTCCCCCCCCCAAAAAAAGAAAGGTGTTTAATTTTTAGACACTTTCTTTAAATGCTTTCTCATTTGAGGCTTTATTTTTCACCTCTCCATACAATTTTTATTTATTTATTTTTTAACTCTTGAGCAGCACTAGAGGGAATTCTGAACCTCCTTTTGGAATAGCTAAGTCATACATAGGAGGAAAGAACCAAAAAGAAAAAAAAAGGAAAGAAAGAAAGAACGAATGAACAGACGGATGGATGAACAAAAGAGTGAACCAGAAAAACATGCCCGTGTGCCTCTCTCCTTAAACCCAGAAACCTGTTTGGGATAAAAGTGTTTTAAATTGAATGTTGAGGAGGTTGGGGTCTGCTTTTATGCATGTTCCCAATACTGTTTTGGAGACATTTCTGAGAGCTGCGACAGCTCGTGGATTTGGGTTTATCGCCTCCTTCCTTGGCTGGGCGCCATCCACAGGGGCAGAGGCTCAGATGTAGAAAAGAGCCCTGGGCTCAGTGCATGTGAAGGGAGAGCGTTCTGTCCAAGGTAAAAAGAATGGGAAAGGTAGGAGATTTGAATGGGGCCCCGAGGGTGTCTGACTTGGTTGTCTTGTACCTTCTTGTACATCCGATGCGATAAACTCTAGAGAGGGAAAGTTTGCAGTCACAATTCCCGTTTGTGGTCTTTGTTCTTAAGTGAGTTGAGTTAAATTTGTACATTCTAAAGTCAGCGCAATACTTTTCTAATCGGGCATTGTATAATTGCTTAATTTCTGGTTCTAATTTTATTTATTTTTTTCTTTTTCTTTTAGGTTTTTGCCATAGGACACGTGTTAGCTAGAGAGAGTCAGAGAGGGAAAGTGAGAAAACACCCCCCCCAGAGGGGGTCGCTGTGCCATAGTCCCTTCTTATCCATTCTCCTCTTAGGATTTTGTGCACTGATGTACTCGTGACCGGTGTGATTTTCAAGCCACTGGGCCTGGGATTCAAACCATGGTTGACCATATGGGAGTCCAGTGCCTTATCCACCATGCACCTGGTGGCCCCTTCATTTTAATTTTTTTAATCTATAAAATGGGGATACCTGGCATTGGGTTTCTTTGTATTGATGAGAGAATGCAAATAGAGAACTTAAGGTGATGCCTAGTAACAAGTTCACACGTGAGGAATGTTAGTCTTTATGATGGGCAGTCTGTCTTGGTAATGATGCAGTTTCTAGATGGGTATTAAGACATGGATAATGTTAATTCCCTTTCAGATTAGAAAAAAATTCTTCTTCAAAACACTGTATGCTATAATGTCAGTCACAAGACTGTGGCATTAAACCACAGCGTAATCATCTCAGTGTAGAAAAATAGACAAATATGTCTCATAAATGTTCATCTTTTTCCACATACCTATTAATTTCAATTTCTTGCTTGTGCCATTGGGAACACTGTTATGTCTTATTTTATGGATTGACTGACTGCGTTTTCGTTGTTCCCAGACTATCAGCTTTACTTTAAGTGCACAAATCTTGTGCATGCTTCCTTAATCACCAATAAAGGTAACAGTTAATGTGCTGCAAAGCAAGAAAATTGACTTTAAAAACACAATACTTTTCTGACAATCTTCTCTTCATGTATAGCAGGGCTTCTCCGCGTTGGCACTCTTGGCATATGGGCCAGATAGCTCCTTGTCGCAGGGATGCCCTGTGCTTTGTGGGCTGTTTCCCAGCATTCCTGGCTTCTGCCCTCCAGAGGTCTACCACTCACACTCCCTCCCACCACCCCCAGCTGTGACAACACGGAGTACTCCAGATAGTCCTCCTCCAGTTGAGAACTGCTGGCCTCCTGGGAAAAGGGACTGGCTCATAGTTTTGTGCTCCAGGGTCACTGGAGAGAACTACTCGGGTCTGACTTTATTGGAAGCTACCGAATGGCTTTGGGCTTGGTGATTCCCAAATACGTGATGACAAACCCAGAGATTATCCGTTGATACCATAAATCCACATAGCAGGTTGAATAAGTGGTGGTGTAGCTTTAGAATTTTTTTCAGGTTTTGTTTTGTTTTGTTTTGCCACAGGGTGCGTGAGCTCGCCAGAGAGAGAGAGAAGAAAAGTGGGAACTCAGCCCTCAGGGAGAATGGCTGTACCTCAATCCCTTCTCCATTCTTAGGATTTTGGGTACACACATATGCGCACCAGGTGTGATTTTCCTGGACTCAAACTGCCATTGGCCAGATGGGAGTCCAGTGCCTTAATCTCCACACCATGTGCTGGCCCCCAGTGTAACTGGTTTTGAAAAATGACTTGGCTTCAGTTTGATTTCACACTTTTTCCTCCAGTTTTGAATTTTTTCCATTTGTCAGGACAGCAAAATGGAATTTACAGGTAACCTTAATTTTGTATATAATGATTGATTTTTTTTCCTTCTTTTTTTTTGTGTGTGTTCCCCTTATTTTTCAGCTCCCTCAGGCACAAAAGGTAAACTCTTTTTCATCACATTCTGGTCATTCCAGACTCACAAGCTGTGCATGTCTCCATGGTGTTGTACATTTGGCACTGTCATGACCAGTGAAATGGTTTCCTCTTACAGCTTCAGAACCCTGAAATTGGGCAGGAACAGAGAGGCCTACAAACACAGTTTTGACCACTGCCCCCAGCCAAGTCCCATCAAAAAACCCTATTGTGACCACTGGTTAGGGGGCAAATCCATGCCTAACCATTTCCTTGCAAATTCTCAGGTAACAGGAAAAGTAAGTTTGGCACTTCCCTTCCAACATAGCATTCCTGGCCTTTTCCGAGATCATCTCTTAGGGAGACAGATAATGTAAATAATCTGGAAGAACCTAGTGACCAAGTTTGATTTCTGGGCTCCTACACCAATCTCCAAATACTCCTCTTTGGTTTCTTTAATTGCAAAATCAACAGCTCTTATGCTTGTCCTGTAACTCCTATCTCCCAGAGACCTTAGCTCAGAGTTCCTACCAATGGCCAGACCCTTTCACTGGTCCTCATTGTCTGTGGATGATTTGTTCCCACCATCTAGAATGTTCTCTGTCCAGAAAGACTCCATGTGGTTGCAGTGATGGCTTGCTGTATCAGTCCCCATGGCATGTCATTGTATCCGAAAGACAGCTGTGGCAGAAAACATGCTACGGGATGCCTGCTACATTGTCCTTGTGTATTTCCACAAAACTAAGCAAGACTTCTGGAAGACACAGCAATTTCTGGGGGCCAGATGTGGGTTAGTTTTGTTTCAAGACTTTAGGTAGGACACTGTCCTGAAATGTAAGCCGCACCTCCTTGGCTCTCCAGATTGGAGCCGAGATGCCTCGGCTCCTTCGCATTGAGAGAAAAAGTACAACCACTCTACAGAAGACAGTCTGTTCAGACCATCTGGACAACCAGAGGCCTAGAAATCATTACACGATTACTCAAATATATTTGAGATATTTAAACAAGGCAAGCCGCGCTCGTGTGTGACTTGGCTTATGGTAATGTTTGATTACACTTCAGTGCCATCACAAAAGGACTGAACACTTCATTAAAAGTTAAAGTATTCGAGGATAGCAACAACTTCCAGGGTAAAGACATGGTTCGAATTCCAGATTGTTTGGAAGACTTGGACGTCTTTGATAGGGTGTACTTTCTTAATTGTCCACATTTGAATTTTCTTTTTTTTTGGAAAGAGGCTTAATAAATTCAGTGTCTAAAAATGGGCTGACCTTAACTTATTGGCATTTATTCATCACATTTTCACTGATCCATATATAAAAGTGTTCCTGTTGTAGAAGATTCCTCATGGATTGGAGGTGCTGTCAGCCATGGAATTTTAAAACAAGGTCTAAAACAAACCGACACGCAATATGGTAAGGACACACGTCTCTGGGATGTACGGTTCTTCAGTAGCACTTACCTCATTTCACTTGTTTCTTCTGTTGTCATGCACTGAGTCACAACACATGCCCCGCACGCTGGAGCATGTTACTGCAATCGTAGGAAGTGTGGAGTCAAGGAAGATGCCCCAGCTGGTT